ATATTAATTTTAACGCTTGGTATGACAACCTGATAAATATGATCGAGATGAGCTGAGTGATAACGTGGTTCGAGCGTTAGTTTCTGGTGGAACACTAGGTTAAATGGGAAAGCTTGTGAAATAAACATAGATGAGCATTTTTACGGCGGGAAAACAAATATCGTTGCTTTCATGTCAGCACTGGCTGTACAATGAAAACTTGTCAGGATGAAATGAAACTCTTGGTTTTGGATGGCTTACAGTTTTGTGATAAAACTTCGCTGGCCGGAATTTTATACTGATGACGTGTATTCTAATTTTTTTTTTTAAATAAAATATAGGCATGTATACAAGGTTAAATGTATTATAGAAGGCCTCTTGAAACAACTTCGTTTTTGCTAACCTAGCATCTAATTTGCATTGCCTGTACTGTACACGGAATGTGGTTTTTGGAGAGATTAGAGAGTAAAGGCTATATAATACCGAGGTATTTCTAAGTTGAAACAAACTCCGGGATTTTATTGTTTTTGCTATACGAAGGACTGCAGTATTAGAGCGGGACACTTCAGTAGACGTTTATTAGTATTTTGTTCCACCAGTGAAGAATGACGTCAGTGGGCTATGAAATTAAGTTTCAAAGCCAAATATGGAGTGTTCACGTGCCCAACCAACGACGGTCACCTGGTACGCCCTAGCGGAGGACTGAGGGTTAATTTGGACCACCTGGGGATCTTTGGACGTGCGTGCGACCGAAATCTCGGTCACACGGCGCCTTCTCCGTGCCTCCGTTAGATTGCGGATACTTCGGCCGGGATAATAAGGTCTTTTCGAATTTCCGAAATATTAGATTTTATATTTCGGAATCGATGACATTTTAGCTACCAGGCGGCTAATACAACTTAGATTATAGTTCGTATTATCGGTGCGTTATTATCTGCAGAGATGGCAGTAATGGCATTAGCTTTTCGGCAACACATCTTTGCAGCAAGTTTTCTCGTAACGCCTCCTTGCCAATTTGTGAGGGAGAATGGTTTCGTAATACCCACACATGTCCGAGAAGGCACTAAGACTCTTGCTGCCATTTTTGGTGACCTTTCAATGCGAAGCCACGTTTTCTGCATTGGTTCACATCAAATCGAGGTCACAAGTCTGGATGATGTTGACTAAGACTAACGACTTCGACTTTCTTCCAGTGAGCTTGACGTCAGTAGGCGTCTTCTCTACAGCGTGCAAAGCTACTTTCTACTCTGGTCGTGTACTGCAAGTGTCAGTTCATATCAAGAACCTATAAATCTATGAGGTAGTCCGGGCAGCTGCAAATATAGTCTCCTTTTCTGGCCCTTGCTAAGCCTGCATTTTTATGTGTGCTCTTTCGTTATCAGTATTGTGCTCAGTGGAGGGCCGTGAAGGCCTCTGAGTCGGTTAGCGGGTCCGCGACGGCCAAAACATTGGGAACTGCTGCTTCAGAACTCCTGATTGGATGCATACTGTTTTTGGAGCATTTGTGAGACAGATGGAAAATACCTAACGACAACATGGTGTGGTGCATTGTGGAAAAAAATATTGGAGTTGTGTACTGGCCAGCACACCTCCCCGGTGATGAGGAAACTCGGAGCTCGAATCCTGGCTACCACAATATTGCTTTTCGATTACTTTCTGATCTTTACTTTCATTTTTTGCAGTTCGTTTCGGTCATACGTTGACGCAAAAGAAGCCTTGTGTGCCAGTAACTCCCTTCTGGTAAACTGGTGCAAAGTAGCAGTTGCTGAAAACTCTCGATTGAACAATCTATAGATATCGAAATAATCATTTCAATGCAACTGTAGATTGCTATAAGAACACACGTCCAGTGGTGTCCCAGTTTGGGGAGGCAGAAAAAGGTTTTCTTCTTCGATAATGTTTTTCGTGACCATGCCGGCGAGTTTCCTTTGTAGGACATCATACTATGATGTGCTAAAATAAATTTCGCTGGCAGATCATAACTGCATCAGAACACTGGAGTTCCTGGTATCAATATGATTAGAATATAGGTAGAAATATTAGAAACTCTAGAGTTCTGTAGAACGGCGTGCTAGGAACTCCAGAGTTTTGTACGACAGCACGATCTCATAGCTTGGAAGACGCCTTCCTGACGTGAGTTCTTTCGCGCAACACAATACTCAAAGAAATCAACAACATAAAAATGTGGTTTATTGAAATGTCTAAAAAGTACTATGGCTACAATGGAATTTCGGGAGAAGCAAAACGATTGAAATCTCTAGTTAAAAAATAGAAGCGCAGATTTAAATGTCTTAACTGTTTTGGTGCGAATTATTAATTTACATTCTGTATTTATTTTTGTAATAATGTTCGCACCGCAAAGCTAATAGAAGTTCTTCATAATTGTGAACATACTGGCTAGCACTCTTGTTTTTAGTAGCATTTCTGCACGCCTCTCGTCTTTCATATTTGTGCACACAGAAAAAGAAAGGCGACAACATTCGATCCGCCAAACAAGAAAATGGACGGTTGTGTTCCCAGTAACAATTCAAATAAGAAAGAAAAATTGAGTCCTTCATTCATAACAAAGGCTGTTTATCAAAGATAGCGCGAAAACACGGCCGCGGTGACCTTGAGGAGAATGGCAGTGCGAAACTCGGAGGAGCTTAGCCACGTCACGCAGCCGCCGAGAAGTGCTGTCGTGAAGGAGAAACGCCGGTGTCATGCGCAACGGAGGTTCGTCGCCGCCCTGGCCAACGTTATTAGATTAGCTCAGTTAGGGAACTCCTCATAGACGCTTCATGCACGAGCAGTAACCCCCCCCCCCCCCCCCCTCACTCAGCACAACTCGCCTGGCGTCGTTCGTCGCGCCGGATGGCTTCTATGGTAACTGCAGTGTATTTTATGGGATACGTACGGTTCGAAGTGCAGCGTCTAGATGGCGTTCCACCGAACTCTATGAAACACACAGTTGGTAAACGAAAGTCTAGGTGGCGCTTCGAACGACGGGAGGCAGACTGAAGTGGGGGAGCGCGGGTACCCCCTTCCGCGGGAGTTCTATAACTGAGGCAATCTAGCAACGTTGTCCCTGTACACTCTACCCTGGCAGATGAACTACTGCCGCGTTGAAGATGGCGCCCGTAGGACCGCAGCCTTAATCATTAAAATTAGAAAATCAAGTTTGATTTTTTTTTAAACCTGTCCTAGATAAACTGAAGAGAGTCTCCCAGAAAAAAAGCTTCGCAGCGTGACGGGGTCTGACTGCGTTACATGGGCAGCAGCATGTCCCGTGCTATTTTATGCTTAACACTAGATAATCGAGCCACGCGAATCAAAGTAATGCCTGGTTCAGACAGTTGCGTTTGACTGCGTTTGACTGCGTTGCGGCCGCGAGAAACCCGGGCATCCTTGCTGCTTATGTCGCGTGCCAAGACGATTCCTTGAATTGGATTCCACGCTTCATACGAACACAGATGTGCCGGTGACTCGCTTTCGGTTCTCGACGCAACGCTGTCAAACGCGCTCAAACGCAAGTGTCTGAACCGGCCTTAAAGGGGTACTCTACCGTTTTTTTGAGCTACCTCAACTAACTATATTTTCTGACTCCCCGGCCTTTAGCCTTTCCGGTATGCTATTTAGCATCGCGAAATTCATAGTAGGTATTGTGAAATCGGCAAATGAAAATGGTGCAAAAACCAATATTCAAATATTCGCGCACTTTTCAGTGCCGTGACGTCAGTGGCAGGCAGGCTTGCCAGTCCAGCAAGTAGTCTAAAAATAGAATATGCCAATCATTTGTTCCGTGCTGGAGCGCGGCTACGGGAGCAAGCTTCCAAAGCACTCATTTGACACCAAGAAACTGCTTCAAATCCGTTGGGAACAACTTCCGTAGTACAAAAAGTTAACCCCTGCCTTCCACTGACGTCACTTTGTTGTTGTTGCCAGTAGAGACTTTCAGTTTGAAAAACATGGTGAAGACCAAAACTGTAAATTGAATAACTTGGCGAAAAAACAATATTTTGGCCTAATATTTGGGATACTATGTTAGCAATTTTTGTTGGTTAGTTTAGCAAAATTTCAAGCAAATCGGAGACAATGAAAAAACCGGTGGAGTACCCCTTTAACACACTGACACGCGTCATTAAACTGGGACAAAAGTAGGCTCGAAGCACGCCCACAGAGAACGGTGCACGTGCTTTCGCCGCCGACGGCACTGGCCGTACGTGAGAATGAAATATAAATAGCGGGAGGGGCGATGGCGAATCGAGGGAGGGGAGAAGGCGGATGGTTGTCCGCTCTCCTCTCCGATTAAGAAGGGCGAGAATCAAATCCCGCGGTGGTCCGATGCACAGCCAGGAACAAGTTTATGAATTTACTATCCGATCTTTGGTAGCACGTATAATCAAGCGCAACCAGGTGCTGTCTCGCGTTGTGTGTTGAAGAAAGTCGTTCTGCAACAGTTAGTCGGCGAACTATGATAACGAGAACATTGCGAACGGCATGGTGCTCCTGATATTGGAATCTCAAAACCCCCTCCCCCCCCCCCCCCCCCCCAAACCGCCTTTTTATTTTTACGAAAAACGGTTGTTTTGAAAGTTTTGAACAATATTTTATAGCTTCGAAGTCTGTTAGCAATGTTAAAATACATTATACTTGAGGAACATTATCAAATATTCATGATGCCAATTGAGCAGTGCCGTTTGTGGCGCCGAAAAGGATTCCGGGAACTAGTCGTGTAGAACCATCTCTAGCAAACGACGAAGACGACAGTGGAAGCGACGAAGGATACGCAGTGGAGCGAGGGTGACAGGCGAGCAACAGCGCTATCGTCTCTTTCTCTCGCTCTCCTGACCGTCACGTGGTAGATGCTGCGGAACCAAGAAGCAGCGTACAGGAGGTTCCCATGTTTCCTTTCGCCTTTCGGACTTTCGGGATTTTAGCAAAGAGTCTAGTGTCTTCCTGCCCATTTAGGAGAACAATCGCAGGGCTCACAGCCACAAAGCGTTAGCCGCCTGACGATGTGTGTTTCTCCGTGTGCCCAGATGTTCCGGCGCAGTGCACTGCCTGTTCGTGCTGAGCAGGGACCACGCCGACAGGCGCTGTCGAGGGGACGGCTCTCTCGTGGTGCGCTACCGCTGCTTGCCCGGTGAGTGGACTGCAGGGGCCCCAATCTACACGGCGGAACGAGCTAGACCGAGGGAGCGGGTCATTGCCGCCCGCTGCGATTGGGGAGCTGGCCAATCGCTGCAGGCGGCGGTGTCCTGGTCTTTTGGGCCCGCTTGGTCCCGCTGTGTAGATGAGGCCGAACCGCGTTCGTCAGCATCATCATTATCATTTGTTTAAGTATTTTGGACTCATGAACCGATAAAATGCCTCGATTACGATGCGCTAGAAAGACATTTCAAGATGTTCACGCCCGCTCAGGATATTGTTTTACGATGGTCTATGCGCGTCATGAAACTACCTACAGCACGTAATCAAGAGGAAGCATCAGTAAAACTGCACTGTTAGAAAAACTCCTGTCAAAGTATGGGACACATACATGCTAACCTTGTTGCCACAACATGTACTGTATTACCGGACTACAGAACATGTTCCATACTTCTTTAGTACGGGACATGTTGTTGTTGTATGGGCAGCTAGAATAAGTTCCATACACCATCATCACAGAACAAGTAGTGTATGCTACAGGAAATGTACCATCATGGCACACAGCAGCACATGTTCGGTTGCAAGCCATGCTAGAACATGTACCATTTTTACGAAGTACATCACATGTTCCAATGCGTCCAAAATGACACAGGTTACATTTCTTGTACTTACGGAAAAAGTTCAGTCTTGTTTGTGATAGTACTCGCCTCATTTTATGTTACTACCGCTATTCACGAGTACATCCGGGCTTTGTGTGTCACATGCCAAGCTTCTCTTTAAAAAAGTTGATATGTGACATGCAAAACATGGATGTCCTGACAGTTTGCAGGCGCAACTTGATGCAAGTCTTTGCAACATAAAATTACCTGCAATGCGAAAATGTTCCCCAAACTTGTATGGAAAATTTGAACTGTCGTATCTAATGCGAGCACTAACCTGAAAAACAGAACAATGAATCTGTGACATATATACTCAATAGAACAGCCAGGAATGCTATGAGAAAGTGCTCGCATGCTACGTCAAGTTTAGAGATCATTGTACATGTAGGGACGGGGATAAAGGCATATAAACATTTGTAAACATCCTTATGAAACTAATTTCACGCTTGGTCGTTTTGGTTCCAAACCATAGCAACGGACCCATTGCGAAGAAGACTGAACAGTTTGCTGCTTCAAAAATATTTACATTTATTTTTCTTTTAAATGACTAGAACACATACACAATAAGAAAACATTTCATGCCGCAAATATATTTGGGGCAGCTCAGCCATCAAAAAAATATCAAAGTGAGCAGTCTACTAAAGAAAAATGTCACAAAAAATTATGCTGACAAGCTACACCTCGAAAAGAACCATCTTGGCCTATGACAACAAATAGTAATATTAACAATAGACAAAAAAATTAATCTAAACAAGCACCGAATTTTCTTTCCACTTCTTTTGGAACTTCGAGAACTCATGGAGGGCTCCCTGCGCCTTCAGACGCACCAGAGCAACTTTTCTTCAAGACTGCCGGGGCCCCTCCTGTGGGTTCATTGCCACAAGTTGCCTGAAAGAAAGAGCACTTAAATAATGGGCGGGATTATTTAGAGGAAGATGTCTAACAGAAGCTAAGGAGTTCCTGACTCCTTCTTTAACTTCTCTATCGGTTAGTAATCCAATCTGAACGAATTCTAAATCTTGACTATAGTATACTTTCAAGCCGAGACAAACGCCCCTAATCTGGACAGTCCGTGCACACACCATGAGCCTCCAAGTCTGATCCTTGCATCAAAACAAATTTTGATTGTACAAAAAAAAAATGTTTCACCCCACTGGTATTAGTTTTCAGTAATAACTGCGCACATTTTGGAACTTGCGTGAGCACACAACGCTAAGACATTCTACAACCCGGGACGGAGGCTACAAAGGAGGACAAACACATCCATCTCAATTGAGACGTATGTCTTCGTAGCCTCCATCCCGGGTAGTAGAATGTCATATTAACCAGCTCGCCTGCCTAGTAACGTTGTATACACAACAATACTTCGGTTAAAAAAGTAATTCAGAGTACCAGTCAATGCAATATTACAAAAAAGCTTGCCTGAAGTGCTTAAGCAGAATATTGTGGTTAATATTAGAACACTGAACATTCATGTCTTTTGGTTCATATTACTTATTTTACCTGATAAGCATAGCCCGGTCACAGGTATATTTATGTGCCCCTGCAGAACAAGGGCCCATGCATTTGCAACCGAGTGATACTAAGGCGGGTTAAAATATAAGTTGCACGTACCGTAGGATGCATAAGTTCTAGTATTGGTCCTATATGACAATATATCTGAGTACCAGATTCATATTGATTCTGTCATTATATTGCAACATAATAATAGGATTTAAAAAGAAGCGGTCCTCCCCGCAGCACATCCAATTAATGTGAGTAACGAATTGTAAAGCGAATTGCGAATTGCCAAGCGAATTGTAAATAAGGGTATCTAGAAAGCAGCATATTAACATTAGACCTTCGCCTTTCTTAGTGTAAAGTTTCAACAAAAACATGGTTCAACATGTTCCAGGTTGCTGTTGAAGGTGCCAAACAAACACAAACCCTAAGGTTAATATTCTGCTCTGCAAAACATATTTTTTTCCAAATTGCTGTCGAAAGTTAGACACTTTGCTTGATGTAATTGGCAATGCCTCAGCGACAGTGTGACCAAGCTGAATGAAACCCTTAATATTTACATGGGAATACTGCAATACGTTCGAGGAATCGTTATGCGTCTGCTATGCTGTTTTTTTGTTTTTTTTCTTTCTTTACAGATTTGTTTAAAGAAAAGCCATGAAAGCTACACTTATGCGGTTTGTGCGAGTGAGTTATACGCCCAGGGGGACATTACCGGGGTGGCTAATCTTCGCGATAAGTCGGCTAATTAGTTGAAATTCGTTAATTATATCTTAATTAGTGGAAGTAGTCGTATGTTTCCAATTAGATATTTGCTGAGCGTCGTTCAAATCCCCTAGATCAGTAATTTTTGAAGGACTTTGAGTGCGTGAAAAGCGCAACAGTGTGCTGAAGTTACTACTCGTGGAGCAGGTACAAGGCTGGGGCTAGCTAGGAGACGGAAAAATCGCGCGGGCGCCTTACCGCAACCGCTAGCCTCGTGCTCCACAAGTGGTAACTTTATTGTACTACTACACTTCTCACGCGCTTAAAGTGTTTCTGAAAATGACTCATTTAATGTCTTTCGATAACACTTAGCAAGTTTTTAATTTGAACCATATGTCTATTTTCACTAATTAAAAAGTTAACCAATTTTAATTAATTAGCCGACTTATTGCAAAGATTAGCCACCCACACAATGTCCCCCTGGGCGTATTACTCACTCGCACAAACCGCATAAGTGTAGCTTTCATGGCTTTCTTTAAACAAATCTGTAAGAATAAAAAGAATCCTGCATATGTACGGTACTCAGCAAAGGAACACGCGACTGTATTACCTCTTAAGATTACATCAATCTATGACGTAGTGCACAAAATTGTTGTATTAAGCATTAAGCGGTCGGCCACCGACAAGTTAGCACGTTTATGAGGTAATAACAGTTTGTGTGTTCCTACAAGTTTCGGAAACATTGCACATTGCCAAAGGAAAACAGTGTTTGAACTTTTTGACTTGTACCATATACTGTAAACGACTTATTTTTCGCGGGCTCAATATTTCGCGATTGAGGTAAAAGTTGAAGATTTTAAATAATTCGCGGGTTCTAATTTTCGCGATGCGGCGGGATCCCAATATAGATTCCAATGTGTTTACATTTTACCAGAATCGTTCGCGGGACCTATTTTTTTTTTTTTTTAATTGTAGGCGATTCGGGAAAATTAGTATCTTTCGAAAAATAAGTCGCCTACAGTCTTCGAAATCTCCAATTCTGAGCCCATTTGGCTTTGCCGGAAATACGTTGAGGAGCACACCACCATTCAAAGGTATGCCAAACTGCTTAGGATGTTGGCAAGGACACGATAACAGATTAGGTACATAATTTATTGCTAACGGCCTTTTATGTCATTAACGCTGTCAAAAATTACTTATCAGTTATTGCTGCTTCCCAGACAAAAATAAATCGCCTATTTATTTCTTCACGAAATGCAATATCCACTTGACAATTCAACCACTTGAAGGAATTAGAACTGTCCATACGATACATTTTTCCAAAGCAAATTTACAGTGCACATTTTCATAACTGAAAGGCACATTCATAGTTACCTCTAAACGAACTTCAACTCTGCTGGCAGCTCAGCAGGGTACTTTAGGTTGAGACAACAGTATGCGGCGTACATCAGCTTCATAGCAGAGAAGAAGCTGACGCCTTCGAAGCACCTGGTCCCATCCAGTGGCAATTGAAGATGCTTCTGCCTGAAAAAAGTAGATCTTTTTAGTCATAAGGGAACGCTGAACCAGACATTTATGATTGCAATTGTGTTTGAGAGCATTAATACCTAGGACTTTTGGGAGTTATACTATTTTCAAACATGGCACACCTTTTCAGTTTTTATCTGGGGAGCTTTTCAGTTTCTTCCGGTTAGCATGTATACCCATGAGTTTTATCGCTTTATTCTGGTGATATATATAGTATCTTCCTTTAATTCACAACGCAAAACCGCACTCCGTTGCGGTGAATGAACTTGATATGCGATGAAAACAAGTCAAATCCCATCCTCTAAAAAAAGGGAACTTGACACACAAAACCCAATTACAATTCACGAGCATGCTCATGAATGTGCGAGGCTGCATGCACAATGCGCGAGTCTGGTCGCATAATCACGAGCAAGCTCGTGAATGGCGAGGTTGGTTAGGTCATGATGGCGAAAATATTTGTTTGAGGGCTCTGCAGTAATTTGTATTGGCAGCTTCGCTCTCTGCCACTATTGCCAGGATTCGGGTCGTCCAATGAAAGAACGTTAACGCGCGTCGTGCGTAAAGCAACTTCCAGTAGAGCTGCGCGACGTCGTGCGTGTAGCAA